AAGTCAGACTCCCTCCTTCCTTCTCCCACATCATCCTCCTTCTCAGACTCCCTCCTTCCTTCTCCCACATCCTCCTCCTCCTCAGATTCCCTCCTTCCTTCTCCCACATCTTCCTCCTCCTCAGACTCCCTCCTTCCTTTTCCCACATCCTCCTCTTCCTCAGAAGTTTATCGAAATGTGGCAGCAAATGAACGAATGCCTTGTCCTAGAGTGTAATACCACCGCACATTTTTTTGCGTTCGCTCACCCCGGTATGGTAAATTGGCACAATATAGCGAAATAATTATGTGTGATACTTTTCACTTGGTTCCAGTTTATCAGGAGAGACAAAGAAGTAGATGGGATCTTGTGTCACAGTTGCCAATTGAAGACGAGCAGTGGGTGTAGCGGGATATATGGGAGACAAAAAAACTTCAAGCGGTCAAAATTTGCAGTTTGAAATGGCTTGAATTTGGTTTGCACCAAAAGCAAACACGAGTGTTCTCAGAAGGTTAAGCTGATACTTTTCGTTAGTCTACGTGATGCCACTCAAGCACGCCATATTTATTCTTTCCTATTACGGTTACAGGTGGATATACGCGTAGATGTAAGAAAAAACGTTGGTGATCAACTCAGAATTTACTAACAATGGTACAAAAAATCCCCATAACAATTATTTATTAAAGTGCACCTATTTGAAATTATTATCCAAGCAAGAAAAGTTCTAAGCATTCCCCTGTCCGTTACATTTATATTAGTTCAGGTCCTAAATTTAAAACTTACGCCAATTTGTTGCCGAGATATTCTTCGTGCTTAATGATATTCAAAAGAAAACCTACGCCTGCAGAATTTCACAGCGCATTTCGTTTTCCAAAACACAAAGGAGAGAGCCAAAATTAAATTAAATTGGAAGGAATTTGTGGACAAATGTAAAGAAGGATTCTCATAAAAGTAAGGTAAAACGGAATCAACGGTAACACTATCCGCAATTCATCTGTCAATTAGATATCATATTTAAGTTGTGAAAACAGAAAAATCATTAAGGTATGAAGACTTCTTTCTACTGACCAAATGAAAGATGTCAGAAAGAGAACGATTAAATTTCTCCAGTGCCTTTGCCTTGCCTTTAAACTCGTGGATATGTAAAGTACAGGGACGGGTAATGTGGGATTCCATATGCAAATTTCTTGGCGTTTGCATGACTCTAGGAGTCTGGGGATTGGATGCATCTTATTGACAATGGCAGACTGAATGTTAAATATGGCGAATCCATTTTTAATGACTTTTTATGGGGATAACGGCTTGATGGTCAAATGGCAAAATGGTCCACCTCTTCTCTGAAATGTTGGTTTCTTGCACGGTAAGGATAGTTAGAGTACGATAAAAAGAGATGCAACAGAACGGCTGACGAAAAGGAAATTCCAGCCATAATTTCCCCCTCCTTCGTTGAAGATCCAATTTAAATTTTCTCTTTCCGTGCAATAGAAAAGTAAAATTGGATTTGTCATGCTGGCAAAGTCTTTGGTTAATTCTGTACGGTTTAAGAACATTTCCATGGAATCAATCCTGTTTCTAGTCATTCACAGACTTTTATAGTTAGATATTTTTCATTTGGAACATTTTCTTTTCAGGTGCAAAGGTTGCCTTACTTGCTAAAAATGTAATTCGTGCAAATTACTTTATTTGTATAACAATCATTAGATAGACAATGCGCAGACTTTTCTGCTTCACGAAATATAGTTTTTCTCATATCATAAAAGGGGTAGTTTCGGTGCTATGAATCGTTCTTTAACTTTGCTTCATTTTGGCAGAATTTTTATGAATGAATTGTTCTTGACGCAGTGTGATGCGACTTTAGCCGGTGCATCAGTGCCCTCATATCAAAGAAAAGTTAATAGGTTTCCCTACAAGACTATAATCTTTTTATCCCTTTATAAGTAGTTCCGACTATAATCTTTTTATCCCTTTATTGGCTTACTTCTGGTGGAGGAGACTGTGATAACAAATGACCCTTTATGTAGTGTAAACGCAAACTAAAAATCTTACCATATCATCCCGTAAAAATATAATAACAGTGAAAGGATTTTCCAATCGATTACGATGTGGACAACACTAAAATAATTGTGATCAGTTAGAAGTTGTCGAAAAAAAAAAAAAAACAAGGTTTTTTTTCTTGATGGGTTGGATCAAACATCAGCCAAGTTAAGAGAAACGCAATGATACAGGTTTTAAATCGACTGTTAGGTAACGATTTACATTTGAGTAAGTCGCAGTGAAGGAGTACAGTTGACCTACAATACAATGCAGATGTCGTGGGCGCTAGTATCATAGCTAAAGTATATCATGATGAGAAGCAGTCGAGGCGGTAAAGGCTCATCGACTAATGAAAATGTCTTTTTAAATTTGAAGCACAATTGGCTTGCTTGATTGCGCCAATTAATACTGCTAATACTACAAATTTCCACGACAATTATTGAATTTATCGGCTCAGCGAACTTGAACTTTTCGGACACAGATTCAAAGGATCTTATGGTCCATTCAATATAATTTTTGTTCGGTTTAATCACTTTTTTTCTAACTACAGTGTAAATGAAATTACAAGTTAGTTCGAGAAACGTTCGTCACTCACTCACTTGAATATGTAAGAGGAAAGTTCGATTCATTTCTACCACAAGCAAAGAAAATGAATCCCTCGGATTCCTATTTTGAGTCCGAATAAGGCTTTTCGAATTTGGAGCATACACTGTTTTGTTCAAAGCGTAAATTAAGTTGATTAAAAAAATTAGAACATCAAGTAAATTGAGAATTTCTACGTTTACTTATCCATTTGGAGGTCATTTACGTAAAGCTTCACATTATTGATTTGACGTGTAGCTGAAGCAGGGTAAATTTATTGGATAGAAACGCAAAACATTATAGATATTTGAAATTCTATTGATGGACTTAAAAACAGCGTTGCAAATTCCGAAAAAGGTTGCGGTCCTTTAGTTGCATACTTTTCACTGTTGGTTCGTCTTTAAACCAAGATTTTGATAAGTACGAAGGGCTCGCAACACGAAGAGTTTTACGTAGGATGCATGATCCTCGCAGTAGAGAGCGCT